CTTCTACCACCACCACCACCACCAGCACCTACTCCTACTCCAATACTACTATGCTCCTGCTCCTCCTCCTCCTCCTACTGCTGCTGCGGCTGCTGCTCTGCAGCTATCCTGATGGCGCACGGGGCATGTTTAGGACGACCCGTCCCGGACACGCAGTTCACCCCTGGCTTGACCCACCGCGACACGGACATGTTCCGGACACGCGAGTCTTTCCGGAACTACAGCTGGCGTTCGACACTCACGAGCGACACCTTTCAGAAGCGTGGCCGACACTTGGCGGGCGCTTGGTGGACCCTTCGCGGACAGGGCTCGAAGAATGCCGCCTCTAAACTGGAACCCTTCCGCTATACATTCGAGAACACTCTTCCAGCTTGAGCGGATATACTGCGGCTTCACCGACCTGAGAGGAACCCATTTAGGCAAGCAAGACCTTGGATGTGCTCAACACAGAGTTGCTGGCCTTGCGGTAGTGGGCCCCATCATGGTCACGCTCATGGAACGTCCAGTTGAACTCCACCTGAAAGGAAACAAATATGCTCCGATTGTTTTACTCAGCCAGTGTGCAACTCGCGCCAAGAACAGCAAGCCAGACCGCCTCCAATTTGGAGCATCCCTTCAAATCTTGCGGAAAGCTACGCGGCTGAGGCAGCTGCCATGTCGTACCGTCGGCCAAAGTCTTTGGGATGGAGACCACACCATCCAGAGGTGCCCACGGAAAGGCGACCCATGATTGCCACTTGCCAGCGACTGCCGAGAAGAGTTGTAGTAGTTCTGTGGCTATCAAATGCGACACGATACAGTATCAGTAAACTAAGGTTGCCGGAGCATGCCGGAGCCTGGTTTCCTAGATCTTGCAAAGACTGCAAGACTTGTGCCAACCTGGTTGCGGGCTGTCACGACGCGTCATAGCGACATCCATTACAGTAGTGCTTGGCAGCATTTGCTGATGTGATCATTTTGGCTGGCTGGCTTGGTTTGTTTAAACGTTCTTGGTCTTCGGGAGGCGAGCAGAGTTCACCAGACGTGCGCTCAACCCGAGCAGAGAGACAGAATTGGCATGCGACTATGCGACGATGAAGGCTTCTTGAGGTCTGCAGGTCCGGTTTCTTCCCACACGGGCGGCTGTGCGGTCTGTTCTGTGTCGGATGCCTACCGAAGCCAGAAGAGGTAGACGGTTTTGGCAAAGCGGGCTTAGGGAGTGCAAGGAATTCAGCGCAAGGGGTTTTCAAAAGCACAAGGCACAGGCTTCTGGTGTAGCGCCAAGGTCAAGGGCAATTGCTCCCAGTTCAAATTCCACCAGAAGCCTGCACAAACTGAGACGTATCTACACGAGCTGCTAGGGATTGTTCCTAGTTGCCCGTCAGCTTGTCGAAGTACGCGGTGTCCGGCCGGAGGTCTTCGAACCTAGCTGTTCCGTCTAACTGTTTCCACATGAACAGATGTGGGTGTCTAAAGATACGCACATATGAGCATGTACATGCAGGTGGTGTGCATGCATGCGACTGTATGGGTACATACATACATACGTACATACATAGATACATACATACATCCATCCATCCATCCATCCATCCATCCATGCATGCATGCATGCATGCATGCATGCATGCATGCATGCAGTACATACATAAGCAGTACATACATACAGTACATACATACATACATACATACATACATACATGCATGCATGCATGCATGCATGCATGCATGCATTCATGCATGCATGCATGCATGCAATCTCATTTCATTTCAATTTTATCAATCAATCATTCATAGATCATTGCATGCCGTAACATAACGCAACACAGCATACAGCAACAGGTATGCCAAGTCGTGACATAACATGACAATGACGTGACATAATGACTATTATGCAACATAACGCAACACAGCGTGTAACAACGTAGTACGGTCAGTAAGGCATGCTCTGCATAAATAGCATAGCATAGCATCACGTACATTCGTACATGTATGAACAGGGTGAATCTGCATGCCGGTGCCCGCATCTATATCGGCTTTAACATAGCAATCTGTATGCATGCACAACTCGGTACCAAAAACAGCACAACTGACCTGGTTCTTGGTCAGACTCCACAGCACATCATCTGGCCAGTGGCCGTCATGTCCACTTATGGCTGACTTGTCGGATCAGGCTTCATCAGCCCGTCTGCGTACAGCGGTCCAGTTTTGAGGCTTACAAGGCTGTCACACTTCGGAGAGACACATCCTGCTTGTCGGTGCAGGATGTTGAGGCTGCTAGGTTTTGGAGTTTCACAAAACAGCGAGACGAACCGCAGATCCCCCGGCTGGCCGGCCTAGATGATAGGTGCAGGACTCGAAGCAGCTGCTGGCTCCTGCAGCGCAGGTGGGCGATCTGAGGGCCGCTGGCGATGCCTTGTTCTGGCGGTTGCCGATGCAAGCCCCCCGCCTGAGGTGGGGCCTCTGCCGGGGGCACGAAGACTGGAGGCTTCTCTGTGCCGACCTTGAGAGCTGTGAGAGGTGCAGGGACATTTAGCGGCCGTTCCGGGCATACCGAGCGCTGAATCAGGACATCTTAAAAAGCACGGCACCTTGACTGCAGCTGAGCTCCCCCACAATGTAGGCCACAGTTTTCGCGCGCAGCTTACTGGCCGAACGAAACTGCTGCCACTACAGGGAAGTCGGACGAAATGCGGTCATGTCCATTGATTCTATCATGGAGACGCACGTGCATTCTGTGTGGGGGGCTTGTGTCAGAACTTTTGTCCGTCTAAGCGTGTAAGGCTCCTGTACTTGTTGTCAAAGGCCAGGATCATCGTCCTGTCCTCATCGGCCTCGGCGACATCCGGCAAGGCGATATCCAAGAGAATACGCGTGGATCCATGGAGCGAAGGTGCGAGTTGCTGCAAGAAGGACCGCGCTGGAGCATGCAAAGATTCCAGATGCGGCGATTGGTTGAACTGGAACTTCTGCTGGCCCTGATGGCCCATCATCTGGCTCTGGCTGCCCTTGGAAATTCTTGGCGAACTAAGCCCCAGGCCACCCAGCTGCCAGAGATTGTATCCTTGTTGTCGTATCTTTCCATGGCCAAGACCTGCGTAGGCAGTCTTCCGGAGATTCCCTCCAGAAAACGAGCCCGTACAGCACAAGCACATTCACAGTCTGCCTCTTCTTCTTGTGCACCTCCCCAAACTTGGATTCGCATTCTGACCTCTGCTAACATCATCTCGCTATCTCTGCAAAACGAACCGAAGTCGCAAGAAACATCGGCACGTTCTTCTGATCCTGCCACTCTGGCGTAGTGGATATGGCTACAGGTCCGCTTGGCTGCCAGCAGCAAAGCCGATGTCGTGTTCCTGCATGCAGAAGTCAGCGGACAGCAATTCTTGCCCCTAAACCTCTATGTAGCGCTGTGTGCTCGTGTCTCTGTGATGCTGTAAGCATGACTGATCCATTACTGCATGTACGACCCGCACCCTCCTGTCATACCCTCAACAAAGACAGTCGGCCTTCACCCGGAAAGTCCATCGCAGGGTCGAGCCTTTGGTCACATGATAAGCACCTTAGCAGAATGGTGGCAGACTTTAGCTCTGTGGTCGAATGCCACCAGCCGCTTTTGCCTCTTGCTTTGCTAGATCGCGCCAGCGAGGGCAACAGGCACACTTCAGTAAACTGTTTCGCCTGCCTAAGGCTACCAGTTGGCTCCCGCTGAAAAGTAAATTCCAAAAGAAAGAAAGGCAACAATCGTGACGAAACCCCTCACCTCCGTGAAGTAAACGTCTACCTAAGCACGTTGATTCGCCAATCCCCGATCTGTCAAAAGATAGATCTTATTAAATTAGAAGCACGTCGTCAGTTAGGTTTACCTGGGTGAATGCAAATTGCTAGCACGAGCTGACGAAGTCGGAAACAGATGAAGGAAACACGTTCTAGCCAACCCAGTTCCCCATATCTCCCGTCGTGCTCAGGCATAGCGCAGGTGTGCTCCGTCCGGGCCGGCACAGACAGCTCCTCTGCGCCTGCACGTGTTGTATTCGGAGCACTGACTGACAAAGGCCTGTCTGTGCATGGCTTTCTTCGCACGTGCCATGGTGCCACAAGGTTGCCTTGAACTTTGATATCTTTCCATTGCTCCTGACTCATGCATGCTTTGGAACGTTGATGGATCTCATCACGCTCTGGCCAAGCGCGGTGTGCTTAAGATGTGATCATCTCGGAGCTTTCTCCTCACGAGCAGCCATGTCGAGGGTGTCCCTGGCAGATCCTCTCCAGGCCACAGCACTCACCTGGCCAGGCAGACTGAAAAGGGGATGAGATCGGAAGTGAATCGTGGCAAGGCTCTGCGCGATACTGCTTCCCAAGTGTGCTCAAGTTTCCATTCTGTGCTGCTGACATGATTATGTTCCCATTCAGCCACACAGTCATAGGTGGCGAAACTAGTGATACAGTCCTTGCAATGTTGAATGATCTCTACCGTTCGGTGTCCAGTAATTTCCTTGTTTTGTACTAGTCCTGGTCTGGCTAGCCAGCATGCCCAAAATTTGCCGTGACAGCGGCAGTGGTGGTAGAAGCGGCGGCAGCATCAGCTTCAGCGGCAGCTGCTGCAGTAGAAGCAATAGAAGCCGTGCAGGAGGAGAGGAGAGGCAGCAACGGCAGTATGAGCAGCAGCAGTTGTTGCCGCGCATGTGGTGGCGGCGGTAGTAGTAGTCGTCGTCGCAGTATTGGTGGTACTCGCAATAGCTACTCGTCGTTGTGGTGGTAGTTTACAGCTTAATTATTCTGATAGATTTTACTAGATTCTGTCCTACCCAGAGGGGCCACGGTAAGGTGCTAACTATGATATACTGCCTTTAGTTCTATTGAAATCTTAGGTGTTCGCCATCTCAGGTTCGGACGCCCTCGGTCCGAATTCTCTGGATGTTGCCATACCCCTTCTCCCACACCTCAAAACTTGCAGACAGGGGTTCCCGTTTTGAGTGCTCGCTCTCGTCAGCCCGATCGTGGACACTTCGTCTGAGCGCTCGACCGTGCCAGCACCTGCACGCCATTCGCGAGTCCTCTCCTGCGCATGTCACAATCTCAGGCCCAGCTGGAAGACACTGGATGAAAACTAGATGGTAGATTTCTGGACCCCCTACATCATCTGAAGCTGGCAGCGACGGCAGAGAAGCCGCTTGCATGGTGCATACCTCTGCTCAGGCCTTGACAGCTTCCAAACCTTGCTGGGTCTTCTCCATGACCACCTTCCCTGTGTCCTGCTGCATTCGCTGCCGAACAGATGCTTAGAAAGCTTCTTCAAGATGGAAGCGTCTTTGCAGCTCAATGCTTCGGGGAGCGTCCTTGGCAACTTCGAGGCCCTTCTGTACACGCTCGCTCTCTGCGATCTCCGAGGCTCTCCTGCAGGCTGGCAGGCGAAATCCTGCAAAATGCTGGCACCGAGACTGCCACCGCTGCGCCTTTTGGCCCATTCCACGCTCTGCTGGACCTTTTCATTCTCTGCAACTTTCTGCGAGACTTCCTGCATTGCCAGACGCGCTTGGATTGTAGGCTGCAGTATAGTGCTTCGGCGGATGGAGGAAATCTTGCACGGCCCAGATGTTGACGCATGATACCGCCGACCACCAAAACGCCGGACCCCCGGTTTATTTTCGATGATAGTGTGACATGCGGCTGGTGCAAGATTTTTGTCAGTGGAACCCACGGCCCGTCCCAGGACTGGACATTAATATTGAACGTGGGGTGCGGGTGCAAGATTTTCTCCATCAGCAGTTGCAGTCATCGGAGATGCACTCCAGGACCCAAATGCTCCAAGCACACAGGCTCATGCACATGAGGAGACACGAACTCTGGAGGCCTTTATCCTCTCGACCCCCTTCTGCACAGACCTTGGAGTCGGCCACAGAGTAAGTGAGCTATCTGCATGGCGCGGACTTCTTTTCCAGCTATTTTGTTTCAAACCCCGTGACCAGTGACAGGACATCTCATACAGCAGATACTCGTGGTTCTTGGGCAATCAGCACCCACACTGCAGCCAGCAACTACACATGCACATTCGACGTGCAGTAGTACAAATTAGCCAGCAGAAACCACCAATATCAGAAACTAAAGCAGCTTGGCAGTGAAACCAGTTATGAACAAACTACAATCAACCTTACGGGCTTAATGCTGCAGGCTGTCTTTCAAAAATTGTGTACATGTACGATACCTTTGGCAGTGTGTATGCGACATACACTCTGTGAGTGAGTGTATGCATACATGGATGCAGGTTGGTAGGTGTGTATGTGCATATTAGAAAGCACGTGTGTACACATATATTATATCGGATGCGTCCCGCCCTGGGTTTGACAAATAATGTGTGTACAATATGATATATGTATTTGTTTTGAATGCAGCATGCCATGCACACACATGCTTACAATGCTACGTACACTTCAAGACAAGAATCATGCGATTTATAATATGTCCTTCAACAGTGTGGTAAGACTGTTTGGGGTTCTGAAAACCTTAAATATAAGGGGGACTAGCTGCCGTTCGAGGTTCTGAAATGCGTTGAAAATCAAGGGATTAGCTGCCTCCCACCGCGAGGGGGCTCCGCGGATTCCGCTGCAACACGGCATTCGACCACGCCAAAGTCGCACCACACTTCGGCACCCTGTCCGCCGTGGAGGTCACGCTTCGCAGGTCCCTATATATATATATATATATATGTATGTATGTATGTATGTATGTATGTATGTATGTATATATGTATGTATAATGAAGACGTTTGCCTCACCGACTGGGGTCTCGGCTCGAGCTCGGCCACCCGCTGCACTGTGGGCGCCACTTTGTCCTGGCCACTCACGGGCAAGCCAGGCGAGATTCGAGCAGGCAGGTTAGAAAGTGAAGTTCAGCCCGCGGAAGCCTGTTACATTGCAGGGGCCAAGCCCTTACCAACGAAGCTTCCGGGTGTTACGTCTCTACTCCGATGCATCCAGATGAAGAAAGGGCAGAGGATACACGAGGCCCCGAACGCTGCAGTTCAACCTCGACTTGGCTTGTGGGCGACGGTGTTGACAGAGGTCGTGCCTCAATTTCAAGCCCCCCCACCCAACCACCCAACCCTTTTCCCAAAAGGGCCCATGCAGGTCCCTGAGTCGGCCGAAGAGGCCTTCACCATGAGCCTCCGCAGCCTGCAGCACTTAGCGATGATTCATGCTGCATGCTGCTGGAAACTCTTGTAAGTGTCAGGTTCATGCAATCATCATAATCATCGCTTGTGTAACTGCAGTGACGCAGTGCATCTTGCCTGCCGACTCGCCGCAAGCATTTGGGATAACTACCGGTAGGTAGCAGTGGCACAACCAGCAGCAGCAGTGTCAGAAGCAGTGGCAGCAGCAGCAGCAG